CACAGTGGTGACGTGGCATAGTTGGATCAAGTATAATGATATCTGACAGTGATTAAATTCACTATCAAAAAAAAACGCTTCGATGCAAATCTTTAGATAATGTTTAATTTTAAAAAATTGGTGGATTATTCCAAAAGCTTCATGATCTGCTAGTTCCTTATCAATATCCTGATTAAGAAAAAGTATATCGAATGAAAAGGGATTATTAAAAAATAGTATTTCTCATAAAAAAATTGTGTTGAACCATACACTTTTTAATAAGTTATAGCATTATAAAGTTAAAAATGTAAAAAATAAAATTGAGAATTTTCAAAAGAAAATAGCATTTGGTAGCCATTTTCACCACGAAGACAAGTCAAGAGGTCAAATTTTTTTTTTTCAAATTAAAGTATATTACATTAGCTTTAATTTAAGATATATATAAAAGTGTCAGACCTTCCGGAACATTTTCAAAAGTTAAGTTGAAAAAGTTCATTTTTTGTGAAAAAGTTGTCATTTTAAATCCCCCCCTGTGGGCAGATAAAGGGTCAAATTTACAAAAAAAATATACCAAAAGATAGGTAAAGATATCAAGCATCTATTAAAAAAAAAATTATATTAATATGTTCATTTTTAAAATAGTTATGCCAGTGTTTAGTAAAAAAATTGAAAAAATTTCGAAAATTAGCCATTTTTAAATTTGTAATTTTTTTGGAGATTTCACCAATTTACAGGAACAAAGGAAATTTTTTAATTTTTGGGGGTAAATATTCAACTAGATACGATTTGTGATCTTTTGACGTATCGTTGAAAGAAATCCGTTCGGTGAGAGCTGAGAAAAAGTGGTAACAGACACAAAATAAAAATAAATACATCTTAGTAAAACCAATACCTTCTCAGCTTCGCATCGAAGCTAATAAGTTTTTGTACAACAATTTATTAAATATTTTTAAATTTTGCAATTTTTACACAAAAAACGTAATTTTTTCTTTAACTTTCATGTCCAATTTCATTACGAAGACAAGTCTAGAGGTATAAATTAAATATGAATACAAAAAAAATGTATTAATTCATAAATTTTTTAAAAAGTTATAACAATATAAAGTCAAAAATTTTTAAATAAGAATTTTATCACAAAAATAGCATATTTGTAAGTGCGGGAGCCATTTGTACATAAAAGATAAGTTTTAGGAACAAATTTTCAAAAGTTAATTTGAATAGACTGGGTTACGAGGATTGACCCTAACTGATAACGCTCCGACATTCATTAACTCCGAAAACAATTACTGCGAATACCTGGTTAAAAAAATTTAGATTTTACTACGACGATAATTACTTCGAATAGAACAATTAATTGATTGCTTCGAATAAAATTTGCTCGGATTATCAATATTTCGCGAAATCGATTAAACAATTATCAAATTATGGAGTAGATGAATATCGTACCAATATATTATCTGATGGAATAATATAACCCTCATCACTAATTATTAATTATTAATTAATAAAATAAAATAGGGCTATAATAGATTACCGTTTATTAACAAATAATTAATACAATAAGGATTGCATCCGACTTTCGTTACAATGGGTACATAAAGGTAAGGAAAATCAAACTTAATAGTATAATTAAACTATTTTTTTTTTAATTGTAAAATTATGTATACTTAAATACCTACATTTGTAAATATCTAATTATGTAATAAAACTTGTTAATTACTATGAGCCTACAACTATATAACGTCAGTTCCTCCATTGTCATTAATCAATTAGAGTAGAAAACCTCAACTCCCAAAATCACACTAGGGATCGCTAGACTACCCCCTTCTAAATATAAGAAATCATTTTTCCCGACTAAAACGGCTATTTGGGTAACTTGAAAGTATACAAATTCTGCGACACTCTACTAAAGATTCTCACTCTCTAGGACTTTTTTAAATTAATTTAGAATTAGAATATTATTCAAATTAAATGATACTTCGATATTTTGTAGTGAATTTTTTTTTGATGAACCTTTATATTTAAGTGGTTAAGTGAGAGATGAAAAAATAAATGACAGGCACAAACTATATAATTTTAATGAATAAAAAATTATTCTCACGAGACTACAGTGATGGGTCCTTGATATTCATTGAAGTACAAGAATATAAATGATATAAAAAATGTTTTCTAACTCAAAATTTTCACCATGAAGACAAAATAACATGTGAAATTTTTTTTTTCCATTATAAAATGTATTATAGAAGCTTTAATTTAATATATATATAAAAGTGTAAGAGTTTCTAGAACATTTTCAAAAGTTAAGTTAAAATAGTTATTATTTTAAATCTCCCATTATGGAAAGGTGTAGAGTTAGATTTACAAAAAAAATATACCAAATTATAGGTAATTATCTAATATATTTGAAAAAATTAATTTTTTGTGAAAAAGTTGTCATTTTGAATCCTCCTCTAGTGGGCTGGTAAAGGGTTAAATGTATAAAAAAAATATACCAAATGATAGGTAAAGACATCAAGCATCTATAAAAAAAAATTATATTGATATGTTCATTTTTAAAATAGTTATGCCAGTGTTTAGTAAAAAAAATTGAAAAAATTTCGAAAATTAGCCATTTTTAAATTTGTAATTTTTTTGGAGATTTCACCCATTTACAGGAACAAAGGAAATTTTTTTAATTTTTGAGGGTAAATATTCGACTAGATACGATTTGTGATCTTTTGACGTATCATAATATAATATATTACAACGTAATATTGTAAATTGTTAATTGTTTTAACGCTAGTTGGTTGTATAGTTATTACTTAATTACTACTTAGAAAAAATCTGGGGATAGAATTTGAATGAACAATAAAGGTAAATATAAATTCATCTAAATGACGTAGATAGAAGACTGTTTATATTAAATATTTGTATGTAGATATTAAACAAATAAATTCTGAATGTATGGTTTGGCAAAACAAATTTTATTCATCCATACATTTTTCAAAAATGTATAGAAATATAAAGTTAAAAATATAAAATCGAGAATTTTAATACAAAAATAGCATATTTTTTAATACAGTAGCCATTTTCACAATGAAGACAAAATAAAGTTCGATTTTTTTTCCATAATACAGTATATTACATAAGCTTTAGTTTAAAATATATATTATAGTGTCAGTAATTCCGGCACACTTTCAAAAGTTAAGTTTAAATCCTCATTATTTTGAGTCGTCCACTGTGGTTAAGTGAAGGGTCAAATTTACAAAAAATATATACCAAATGATAGATAAATATCTAATATTTCTATTTTATTTTTAAAAAGTTATAGCAGTTTAAAGAAAAAATTAAAAAAAATAGCAAATTTTTAAATTTGTAATTTTTTTGAAGATATCCCACATTTACGGGAACAAAGAAAATTTTTTCAATCTTTGAGGTTAATGTATTCGACAAGACACGTTTTTTAATATTTTGACGTATCATAATACAATATATTATTTATTTATTTATATATTTTTTAACGGGTAGGTACCCTTTAGTAATATTAATAATACAATAAGTATAAAGTTTACATGACAATTATGAGTTAACAATTAGGTAATAATGATAATAATAATAAAATGGAATAAATTATGAATACAATAAAATGTGTTATCAATAATTAATAATTAAATAGCGTAAGACATAAATCAATTAAAAACAAGTAATTAGCTTAATATCACATAATATTATGAATTTTGCAAACGAAATACAACAAATTTCAAAACTTTAATCTAATAATACCTTTATCTTACAATAAGAACACAATATTTAATTTAGTACTAGATTTAAACCTATATATACATTTTGTTTGAAAAAATATTATTTTATTCGTAGTTGGTTGTATTATTATTGCTTAATAACTACTTAGAAAATATCTGAGGCCAGATTTGGAATGAACGATATAAGTAAATACTTAATTCATCTAAATGACGTAGATAGTAGACTGTTAATTTTTTTCTTACATAATTAAACCTTTAGAAATTGTTTTTCATTTTTTTAGCAATTTAACTTATTCTAAACAATTATTTTAAAAATCTATATTTTAGGTGATAGATATTGAAGAAATAAATTTCGGGTGTATGGTTTGGCAAGTTGATATACTTTAGCTCAATTTGTGTAACGCTTAAACAATTTATTGTACATGTATTTCCCGATTAAGGTATCACCTACTGTCTCCCTATAAAATATTAGTTGTATACAAATTTAATATTATACAATTTTTAATTATTCTACCAAGTATTTGAATAAAGTATAAAAATATTTAAATGGGGTAATCGAACCTCAATATATGCCCTGAATAATTTTTATGTTAATTTTTTTTAGATAGTCTAATATAGTTCAACTGATTATAAGCCAGTTATTTAATATCTAAAAATTTCAAAAATAAATAGCGAAAAGAACTAATTTCAAATTTTATTTTTATTGAAAATCTTTCCTGAGCTTCTCAATTTTGAATCAAACTTAAATTTTCAAATACTTTTTATTTAAGATGATTTTCATCAGTTTGTTTAATAAAAATGTTTTATTTCTTATTCGCGTTTAAGTTAAACCCATACGACGTAAAACAACGATATGTCTTTCTAACAAAAATGAAGTTATAAGTGTTTCAAAACAAATACATGTGTTTTTCACATTTTATCGCAATTAATTAATTTCAAAAATATTTCTATTAAAAGTTTGCAAACATTACTATATAGTTTTTAAGACNCTATTAAAAGTTTGCAAACATTGCTATATAGTTTTTAAGACAAGAAGATCAACTTGTGCAAGTGTCAATTTGCCCCACACTTGCCTATTAATATAATACGAACATTTTAAAGATAAATCATTCACGGTTCAATTTTAAATTATTATCTGCATTTATATAAAAACAATTTGATGTTTTTCTACAATATCTTTTGTGAGTATGCGTTAATGCTAACTTTTCAATTTAATTTGATTAAATCAAGAATTATAATAAATATTTACAATTAAAATAACTATATTTTAAAAATAGATTGTTGTATTACCATATTTCAGATTATATAAATAAAATGAATTTAGTAATAAAAATTATTTTTCGCTTTAAGCGGATATTATTAAAATTAAATTGTCAGTCCTAGACTTTCATTTCTGCTGCAGTTATAATAATCATTGAAAATGGGTTTCTATTGTTATTTTGAAATATTATTTTATTTTGTTTGTGTAACTATCATACCTCCGTATTCAGCTGATCAATTAACGTCAAGTAACAATAACACAGAAGTATTTATAATTACTATTATTATTTTTACTCTTATTTTTAGTACCTTAAGTACATTTTTTTATATAAATAATAATCATTGATAATATGCTTAAGAATATTATATACTTGTTAAGGGTAACATCGTTATGGTAACATTTAAAATTGTAATTTTTTGGTAATATAAATTCAAATTACATTTTTTTATTTCACCTATAAAAATAGTTCATTTAATTTACATAAGTAAATTATAAATATCAGATTTAATTGTAATTTATTGACTAATTAGTCGCTAATACTCATTTTTTTTCATATATTTTCTTATCATCAAATTTTTAATTATTTATAATATAAATCAAACTTGTCTAATAAAAATAAAAAAAGTAATTTGATCTTTAATTATAATTTTAATTATCAAAATCCTTTAAAAGTTTTATATTAAATTAATATTAATCCAATTTTCCTGGTAAATTATTAAAATTTGTCGTTTTAAAATTGAGTGTATTAACAAATTTAGACAACTTTGTATTGTTGCAGCGTGCTCTATTGTATGATTTTTTTTTTTTTATTATTATTATTATTGTGATAAGCGGACGATCGGTTTTACTTAGCGGAGAAAAACCAGTCTTCTAATAAATGCCTCACTATTCACATATAGAAAAGTTCGTTTTATTAATTCATAGTTAAACGACATAAGTAATATTCTTCTCGTAAAAATTAAAATACAGTCCACAGTCGTAACAGTATATATAATGTTGTCCATAATAATATTTATTTTATTAAGGTAGCGAACGAAAATTTGTTTAATAGATTATTATTATATAGTATTTTATAGAAATTATGTCTTATAAACATAATATATTGTCAGTTATTGATGTTACGTAATTATTTTGCCGCTTTGGCATTAATGTGTCAGACACAACCATAATTGCTCATTCATTAAATGAAGATTGAGAGTTTATATATATAAATATTGTTTTAACCTACTTAGTTTCGTATCAAAGCTAAAATGTGACTGTTTCAGAGAAAAATTAAGTCAATATAAGTATATTATACGTGTGTTTATTATTAAGTAAATATATTAAGTCAGCTCATAACTAGAGTATAAGAAATAGTGTTAAGTGATATTAGGGCACCATAAAATTATAGTAGAAATATTAATTTATTATTAAATCATTAATATTGATATGTTAACTAAAATAAAATAAAACTTTTTAGAACTATTATAAACTAAAACTATTAATATATCTTGGTAAAAGATATATATTGTTTTTATGTTTTGAAAATCTCTCTCTTAATATATATTTTATTATTAACAGTTAAAGTATATTAATTTACCTATCCTCCAAGCTAGTTATTTAAATAAAAATTTCATTAATAACTAACTTTGAATAAATTTTTGTTAGACACAATTTCCGTTAGCAACTATTTGCTCGAAAATAGTAAACAATTATTTACTACAGAAATCTAAGGATGGGAAAATTTATAATAGGATATTGGCTGAAGCTGGAAATAAATTTGATTTATGTGAATTAAGAACACATGCAGTAAATAATATCAATGGTAATTGAGTTTTAGTTTTTTTAATTTTAAGTGAATACTAATATATATGAATTACTATTTACGTATGCACATCATTTATATTAGATTAGAACTTGATAACTTACTGCGACACAGCTACCTCTCCTTGTCCGACAGGTAGCGCAACGTTACCTGCTGTCACTGACAGCAGGTAACGCGAACCGGTCCAATAAAAGGCGACGGCGAAACAATTGCCTACGGAAACCGGACTGTGTATACTATACACAGTGTATGTATACAGTGTTCAGTAAGTCAGGAAACGGGTTTCTATTGTTCTCATTGTTTGTAACAATGAGAACAATAGAAACCCGTTTCCTGACTTACTGAACATTCTGTATACTTATGCAGCCTTTGGTTAAATTTAAAACTGTTTAAAGTAGGCACTCTTTATTTAATAATAATATATCTATTAATCACTGTGTATTATTTAATTACAATAAGTATACCTAGACTCGGTCACTAGTTTCACTGAAATTTTATAATCTGAAAGGGCTACTGGGCTCACAAGGCCTTAACTGGTAAAGAACACAAAAAAATTTTCATTTGAGATGAATAACAATAATTATATTCTGATAAAACAATGAATGATTTATTTTTCCTATAATGAAAGATGAATGTCAATAAAAAATATATTATTATAACATTAAACTATACATAATCTTAACAGTTAGTAAACATTTAACAACATTTTATTTAATTTCTCAAGGAATAGATTAAATGACTTAAATATCAATTCACACACATTATAAATGTATATAAATATAGATATAATATATTATTATAACTTGCCAATAGAAAAGAACAAGTTATTTACATCAATAAATACTTATGCATAAGTGGATGAGGAACAAATTTATAGTTTGACTTCTATTATTTAATTTAGCAATTTTTACTTGAGATGATGTTGCTGTGAGGTACACATATCCTGACAAAATGAGCAACCACAATTGGCTGAGAACAAAATATCCACAAAAAGGATTATTCAGAAGAACCTATTTTTTCTTTCTTCATATATCTGAGTAGACCACAATCGGCTTAGAACAAAAAAAAATCCACATAAAAGGATTTATTCAGAAGAACATATTTCTTGAGATAGAATTAGATTTCTTTCTAAATCTTTAGATAGTGTTTAATTTTAAAAAATTGGTGGATTATTCCAAAAGCTACATAATCTGCTAGTTCCTTATTAATATCCTGTTTAAGATAAATTATGTCGAATGAAAGAGGGATTGTTAAAAATATTTCTTCTCATAAAAAATTTACTGATCCATACATTTTCCAAAAGATATAGCATTATTAAGTTTAAAATATAAAAAAGAATGTTTAGTCTCTAATGCCACTAAAAGTATCTTTTCGATCCATTTTATCTTATATAAATTATTTTATTAATCAGATAAGCGCGTTTTCCTGTTTTTTTGTATTGTATTAAAGATAAGTCGGGCGATGGACTCATCATCCAAACATCACGACGCGCATGTCAATATATACGAAATAGAGAATTACAAAATAAATTAAAATGTTTACGTCTTTTTATCTTATTACATAATAGAACAAGGAAAAAAACACTTTTCTGGAAAAATTACTAAGCGTGCTCGAATTTAAAATTTTTTTTTTTCAACGTAAGTACTCAGTCACCAGACTCCGGGAAAATTATTGGCGAAGTTCGGAAAATTTTTGCCGCTTTTTTTATAAGTCCAGGCTCATGGTTTTAATAAGCGCAGTTTATATACGTCCATAGCGCAGTCCATACGTTTATTATGCACCTTAATTATATGGTGTAATATGTATTATTATGACACTATTTTCAATTTGCACTATATTTTATCGAGGAATATTATATGTTATATATAAATTACAAGACGGTTATAATTAATAAGTTTGTACTTTCATTATTAGAACATTACATTATTAATAATCTTTTTTTTCTCATATATGATCTATGAGTCCAAGAGTGTATCGTACGAATTGGGATTCATCTATGACAACTATGCTGTCCAACGTTAAATCGCAGTTACCAATATTTTTATCAAAATTAAATTTTTTACAATGTGCCACCAATAATAACCTGCTGAATTTTTTTTTAATTACTCTATAATATAAACACAATTATTATAATTAGAATATTAATCATTTTTGTGTATTCCAGAGGTGTATTTAAGGGAGATATGGGCCCCCCTTGAACCAGCGCTTCAAATATTATTTTAGGCAACTTCTAATAAATAAGGACCTAATGTCCTTTTTTTTCATCATTATTTTAATTTTTTGCAAAAAAAATTCTATAACATGTTTAACAAAGTAAAAAATATTAAATACCCTCCTAAAATAATTTTTGAATAGGCGTAAAGGGAATACCTCATTAATAAACGTCAACCTTATACCCAATACATTTTACTATATTCTATTTTTGAATTTTACTGATTTTAATAATAACATTTTTAATATATTTTTGTTACACTGATTCTGATGTAATATTTTTTCTGCAAAAAACTTTTCGTGCACGGCGTAGCTGGGTACCCCTACCAGAATCAGTGGCCTACTTATGATGACGGCCTGAAGAGCCTTAACTTAATTTATTAAACTACAATTAGTACGAATCTAGTTGTATAGATTTCCGGGCATAATGATTTTTTTATTAATATGATAAGTTTTTTTTTTATGTCTGTCGTCACTTTTTCTTAACTCACACTGTACTGATTTCTTTCGTCGATACATCAAAAGATCACAAATTGTATTTAGTTGAAGACATTGCCCTTGAAATATGAAAAAAATTCTTTTCTTTCCTTTGACGGAGGAAATTACCTATAAAATTTGAATTTAAATGTGGGTAAATTTCCACTTTTTAGCTTCGATGCGAAGCTGAGAAGGTATTAATTTTACTATGATGTTTTTTTTTTTTTTTTTTTTTTTTTTTTT